GCATGAGAAGTGGGACAGAGGAAGGGTCTCCTCTCCACAGTCACCTCCACTAGGAATGGTACATGGTCCGAATCAGCTTAGGTTGGCCAGGTCCCATCTGTGTTTCTCTCTCTTCACACCTGGAACTCAGAGCGCTGGCCGTCCTCCCACCTCCCCTCAAGAGCACACAGGAACACTTCTCAAGCTTTTCTTCTGGCTGGAGAAGGACAGTGCTCTGGGCTCATCTGGAGCTCTGGTTGCCAGATAGCCATGTTGCCCCCCGTTACCCCAGTCTTTCCCAAATTTTACTTTAGATCCTAACTCTGCTGTCTTCTACTCTCTTTGTTAACAAAGTGATTTGCACCATGTGGATTGGGTGAGGTCATATCTGAACATCTGGAGCGAGCTGCAAGCTTACATCAAGGAGTACCACACCACAGGCCTCACTTGGAGCAAAACAGTAAGTGCCAGCCCCACCTCCTCCTGAGCATCAAAAGGCCATAAAAACACCTCAAATAGTGTTCCATGTGGCCTAATAATCTTAAGCCTTAGAATTTACCTCAAGAAAAGCTAGGAGAAGGCAGACGTGAGAAGAGGTGGCTATAGCATTTGCCATAGAAAACTCTGAGAACTGCATGTGTGGTATGTGGAAAAGATGGTTGGGCTGTCTATGGTAACGGTGTAAAGGGAGCAGTATTCAGCCATAAAGAACAAAATTGTGTCATTTGAAGGAAAATGATAAAACCATAGACTGTTAGCTGGGCGTGGTGGCACACGCCTTTAAGCCCAGCACTTGGGAGGCAGAGGCAGGCGGATCTCTGTGAGTTCCAGGCCAGCCTGGTCTATATAGTGAGTTCCAGGACAGCTGGGGCTACACAGAGACCCTGTCTCAAACAGACCAAATAATAATAATAATTAATAATAATAACAATAATGTATGTGTGATTACATGGAAAACAACCGGCCTGTTAACATGAAGGGCTAAATGCAAGCACAAAGTTTATAAGCGCTAAGATGACGTGCAGGTTATGAGACTGGTAGGCATTAAAGAGAACATGAGATTTGAAAATGGGTGTAATTTTAGAGATAGAATTGTAAACAAAATATTTAAAAGTTCTTACTTTTTCTTTTGATGTATCAAAGTTTATTGAACAATATTTTTGAATAGCTAAACAGTCATTTTTGTCTTGTTTGTTTGTCTGTCTGGTTTTAGTAGGGGCAGATTTGAGACAGTGCTTCATATAGTCCAGCTGGCCTGAGTAGCCTCAGATGACCTTGAACTTCTGATCCTCCTGCCTCCACCTCCCAAGTGCTGGGATTAAGGCATGAGACACCACACACACACTAGTTTTGTGTGGTGCTGGGGATCAAACTCGGGGGATCCAATCAAAAGAAACTATTTCCAAATTTGAGGCACTCACATTGGTTTACTCAAATGCAATGTCTTGTGTGTGCATCTTGCTTATAACCTGAGTTTCCCAGTTAAACACCTGTATATCTCCCCATGACCCAACCCAAACATCGCGCCTTTGAGGATGTCTGTTGGTCTTCACCAGCTCCCCGTCAGGGCTGGCAGCTCTCCTCGATGTATGTTCTGTTTCTTGAGTACACCTTAGTCGTAACCCATAGCTAATACAATTGGAGTTTCCTCTGTACTTGCTCCCGGTGGAAAGACCACTCTATTAGACATGAAGATTGCCTTAAATGGGCATTGGTCTAAGCAGAGGAAAACGAACTGACACATTTGTGAATCGCATCCAGAGGTCAAAATCTGAGTCTGCTGATAGCTGACCTCCAGCACCCAGCCCTCCACGGATGCTAATGTCAGGGCTGCAGGCTTATTGAGGCAAATTGTGAGCTTTCAGGGGAGCATGGGATTTCTCTGTTCCCAAACAGGCATGTAATATTCACAGCGGCCCTTCGAGGCTGGTATTTCTTTATTTTCTACCTGACTCCCCAACCCCATAGCATTGAAATGAACAGTGTGGAATACAACTGAGTTGATTATTTTTTCTTCTACCCACAACATTATGGTTTGGAGCAGAGATTTCATAAATATTTGAAAGGCTTTAATAAAGAAGGATGTATGGGGTGGGTGGGTGTTTTGTGAACTAACTGGAATTCTTCACTTCAAATGAGAAACTGTTTTGTTATAGATCCATGTGTCATAAAGGAGAATTGTCACATCTTTGCCATAGGGATAGGTCAGAAAGAGAGAACAGGAAGTTGAAAATCTTGAGTCCTTGGATCCATTATTATCTCATGGTAGATAAATGAAAGAAGACTAGGATCCCACTTTTGGAAAATAATGTCAACAAATCCTAATTCTCTAATGGTACCCGTGGAAAACAAATAGGTTTCTTTTAAATGGTTTGAATACCTTTAATACAATGTACAAAGCTAAGTAATTGTGTTTATGGATATAAAAGAGAAGAAACTGATTATTAATTATAGGAAAAATTATATAGCTGCTTTCCTTTGTTCTAGAGTGAATACTTATTTTATTATGTTCATTAAAAATATATGCCTCTAGGAACTTGTGACGTAGCTCAATGGAAAAATACTTGCCTAGCATATATGAGGCCTGGGCTCAATCCCCAGCACTGGGAGAGAGAGAGAAACAGAGAAACAGAGGGAGAGAGAGAGAGAGAGAGAGAGAGAGAGAGAGAGAGAGAGATTGAAAGACAGAGACAGAGACAATGCTGATGATGGTAACTTTCAAACTTTTTATTACAACTCATTGGAAGAAAAACACTTTATACACAAAGCCTACATGCTCACAACTAAAACATGTTTCACAAAATTTCTAAATTTCTTTTTCTTATTATATACGATGTAGTCAGATTTTTTTTCCTTGATTTTGTATCGCTTTTGATAACATTCTGGCTAAAACTCACAAAACCAACTTCATGATCCTCTAATACATCACATCCCCATTTTGAAACACAGAGTCATAAAATATGTGTTGTAGTTACGCAAAACATATGATTCCAAGTGTGTGTTGGGTCTCATGGCTTGCCATAGCAATGGCCACTGGTGTTTACTGAGCACATGGTAAGTCTTGGGAAAATTCTATTCAATTTGATAGCCAGGTAGCACACATTTCACTTTTGCAACCCTTTTTGGTGCTGAGTATTGAACACCATGCCTGGTACGTGCAGCTAAGTTCATACTCTACCACAGAGCCACACCCCATCCCTAATTTACCTCTTTAGTGAAAGACAGAAATGATAAGGTTTTGATCAGATATTAAAAATGAGTAGTTATGACAGCAAAGCTTTGTTGGGAATGACGTGTGCATTCTTCCGATAAGCTTCAAGACGTGCATCGAAACACGTTTCCTGATATTTTGTTTTCCTCAAGTACATTATAAAAGTTACACTTTTGAATTTCAAACCTTGATTTCTATCTTAAATTACTAAAATCCATTTAAGGATTCCAAACATAATCCATTGTACAAGTCAAGCTAACCTCTTACATACAATTTTGACGACACCCCAGCAAGATGAACTCTGACATGAAAGCCAGAATCACAGCGTTCCTGCAAAAATGGGGGAAAGGCTGCTAGAATTGTTGCAATCAATGGCCTCTGGGAAGGAAAAATAAACTAATCACATGAATGCAGGGAAAAAAATATATTTATAAGATGACAAAGATCAGGAAAGACTAAAGAAAGACATGATGTTGATATTCACAGACACCAAAGGACTTGGGTTTTTACTTTTTCAAATTTTTACAGCAGGGAGGGAGGGAAGCACAGGCACGTGTTTTGAAAATGCATACATGCCACAGTGTATGTGTGGAGAACAGAGGACAACTTTTGGGAGTCAGTTCTCTCCCTCTTCTGTGGGTTCTAAGGATTGAACCTAGATCCTCAGGCTTCTCCTTCTGTGGTGGGTCCTGGGAATCAAACACAGGTCATCAGGCTTACACTGCAAGTACCTTTACCCACTGAGCCCTCTCGCCAGCCCAGGAGTCAGGCTTTGAAAAGCCATCACATCTTCACAGACCCAACCTGCTGCAATGCTGGACATGCTTCAACAAGCTATGAAGACGTCTCAAGTGTCTTGAGTAATTGTTTCTTTCTTCCATTTGCAAGTTGGGGTTTTGGCATGCTTTTCGCCTGGGGTTTTGCTATGCTGCTAAAGACCCTGGCTTCCAAGGCCCATTGCGTTAAAAACCAACCCTCCCCCGAGCTAGCAGTTGGAACTGAATTTGCCACATCCCTGCTCCTGACCTTAACCTTCATAGCACAGCTGTGCTAGGCAACTGCTGTTCTGTCTGTCCACTTGTCACTGAGAAACATGAAACTCTGAGGGCAGGGATTGTTTGGGACAGCTGTGGGACAGGCAAAGGGTGTGTGCACAAGTGTGCTGGGTGGGGCAGAGGTGTCTTGAGGTGCAGAAGCAGCTGTGGACTCATCTTTCTAGATAACTTGTTACGTTTACTGCAGTCAAAGGAATCTTGGCATTTCCCTGGGCTTTTCTTCACCATGAAGCCAACTGTGACCTCCCGAGAGTCCAGACCAGAAACAACTTGAGATTTTTGTTTTCTTCTTGAGAAATCTTTTTCGTGGTTTCCTACATATTGAGGTTCAAATACACTTTGTTAGCTGACACAAACCCAGTGGAGACATTATCTGTCATCCCTGGCAGTGGTCAAATTTGTAAGAATCACTAGCAGGGCTGGAAAGATGGCTCAGTGGTTAAGAACACTGACTGTTGATCCGGGTTTGAATCCCAGCACCCACATGCCAGCTAACAACTGTCTGTAACTCCAGTTCCAGGGGATCCGACAGCCTCTTCTGTCCTCCTCAGGCATTGCACGACACAGGTGCACTTATCTACATGCAGGTATAATGCTCATATGCATAAAAAAATAATAATAAAATATTTTTTAAAAAGACTCACTAGCAATTCCTTCAAATCGGATGAGTACAGCTGAAAACTAAAGCCTAAACCTTACACACGCAATTACCAAAATAAATGAGATCGTGAGCCGGGACCCTGGCCTGCAGTGCTCCCCCGGCTCCGCGCGCCGCAACTGGGGCTCGAGCTTCCTCAGGCCAGGGGAAGGCGACGGCCAGGTTCTTCCGGAGATCGAGGTGGGATGTTCCTGACTTGGGCTTTGGGAGCTTGCACTCCACAGTCCGAGGAATGAACAGATTTGGGCTTGTCCCTTCGGGGGTGATGGATGCTGCGGTCCGGACACACCCAGCTGGCAGCTTCGGGGTGTGACCATTGACTCGAGAAATGATCGCCTTGCCCAGGAAGGATACTTGAGAGTAGACTGGTTCGAGTCCCAGGACCCACATGGCAGCTAACAACTGTCTGTAACTCCAGTTCCCTGGGATCCGACAGCTTCTCTTCTGTCCCTCAGGCATTGCACGGCACAGGTGCACTTATCTACATGCAGGTATAATGCTCATATGCATAAAAAAAAATAATAAAATATTTTTTA